TAGTGACGAACGTCGTATCGCTGTAAGACGAAACATTTTTGTGTATGTTTCAACATTTATTGAAGATTTACTAGAATGTTCAGCATTTATTTTAGTAGCATTTTGGCGCAAGATTGTATTAAATAGGGGTTGATCGTTAACTTACTTTCCGAGGCCACCATTCTATCTAGACACTTGATTGTTTGCAAAAAGTAGAAATCGAAACAGAAATACAATTACTTGAAACAATTGTACTGATTTATTCCATTTCTTAGTAGGACAGTGCTATTGAACATATTTTAAGCATCTTTCAGAATTACTTTTAAAAGAATTGCAAAACAATAATCCACTGTCAATTTTTTAACATAAGGTAAATATCCCAGTGTTTTTGGACACGTCCTGGTGATTGGACACTATCGTGAATTTTTTTTTATATTAAATTTTTTTTAAATAATAGCGAACTTCAGGATAGAAAACAATTATCCTTAGTTATTTCTTATCATAAATCATATAAAAATGTTCACAAAAGCGCGATGAATTATTTTAAAAAATATATTATCATTTAACAATCTTGAACTTGAGGCGACACGAATGCTCGTAAATAATAAATAATTCGTGTGTTTCTATTAAGTAAAGGTTTCTTGAACTTATTAAAGTCTCCAGAATTGATACCAACTTTGTTTTAATAAAACCTTTTACTTTTCATGTCGAAATTACCGAGTTTATTTACCGGTACATGAGAATTCTGTTGCGTAGTCGTTGGACGCTTGTTCAGTCACTCGAGCAGCATCGAGCAGAGAGATAGTGTATGACTTAAAAAATTGTTTTCGTTATATTACAGTAGGTATTTTTGTGTTCTTTATATTAATAACAATATTTAATTTTGCAAGCTCATAGTTTTTTTTACATATTTCATACATAAATATATTATTTTAACACAACCATGACCTAAGCGATTCGCGTACTGAATATTCATTAAAAATCACCTTTTTATTTTATTTCTTTTGTTTCGGGAATTTTTTATAACAATAAGACTTTCATGATGTCGAAGGGAAAGGTGGGTAAAAAAAATTATTCACAACAAGACGTAAATAATGCTGTCAAAGCTGTTAAAAGTCAAAAAGAAAAAAAGGAATAATTTTCATTTCTTTAATTTTGTTTAACTTTGTTTACTTTTCTTTAATTTTAATTTTGTTTTATTTAAAATATATATTCTCTATAAAACGTTTATAATAAACCAATGTTCAAACCACTATGTCTGTTTTTAATACACAATTTCCTAAATATATAAAGATAAATGTTTCAAAGCTTTTACCAAATATATAACATGTACATAATCATAAAATGCACTTCTCTCTTAGTGTTATTTATTTATTCATTTATAATGTATACATTTATAGATTTAGTTCATAATTTTTATTATTTTATTTATAATTTTGTTTCTTTTATTTATTACATTAAATTAAATTTGTTACGTTATATTTCAATTATTACAACATAAAAGAGAAGTATCATGTTTCACTATTAAAAATCAGCTATGGATAATTTATTGAATGTTATGTCCAAACACTGGGACAACTAAATTTAATCACTAGGACATGTCGTAAATTCTGTCCAATCACTCGGTCAAATGAATGCTTTTAGATATTCATAAATTTTAATACTTTTTTTCACGTGAACGCTTTCTTATAAAGACTTGTCTGAAAGAAAAAGTTCTTCTCTATCGATTAAATTCACTTTTTTTCCAATCTATATTATTTTAATATATAAAAAGTCTCCGTAACCACAATCTTCGGCTTAAACGTCCCACCTCTGGGACATTTACCTTAGTCGAGTCAATTTAATACAATCGGTTAACTTTGGCATTGATTTTCCAAAAAATTAACAACACACATAAAAATGAACACGTGAGGAATCAGGGGAGAATTATTTCTAGAGAATTCATTAATTAAGCAGATATTTAAGATCGTTTACAATACTGAATATAACTTACGTTTTCTCTAGAATGTGCAAAATTAATAAGGATCTGTTTATTTCGTATATTGTAACGCGTTTTGTAACTCTAATTCTTTCGTGTTCAGCGTTTGGTAGCATGAGTGTCGTTCGGTGACTTATGGACGGGAGTGTACGTGTCCATTCAAGTAGATCTCGCAGGAAGTTACTCTCGATAATGTACTCTCGATAGTTACTCTCAATAATTACTTTTGAATATGTATCGACTTGAGAACAGTTTTGAAAATTTTTCTTTGCGGATAGACACTAGAAAACTCGCTAACTAGAAAGTCGGATAGTAAATCAGGCAGAGCACTTAGAACCGAATCTACATATACATATAACGTCTATTCTACACAGAGATACACGGTCTGTCCCAAAAGTTTCCAAACAAAAATTGAATCAGCAGTTTTTCGTGAAATGAAGATGCTCGTTATCATTTAACATTAAAAATAGTCTTTTTTTTAAAGAGATATACTGATCACAATAGTAATAGAAACTCTGAAAATAGTTCTGATAATGTTGGAAATCATTCCCTATTAGAAAACACTCGACCCTTGCAGATGTGTCTGAACGTGATTCTTAGGAACTTCCACTCTTAAAGTTTAAAGGCTGTCTCTTGTGACCTGTAGAATAAACTTAGATTTCCTGAAGCGGTGGTGCTTGGTCCTTTCAACTCTCTGACAGAATCCAACAATAATTGTTCTTCGAAATGTTGGATAGGATGACGGTCAAATCGTTTGGCTTCACGAGTTATAGAGTTTACACAACATTTTGATCTCAAAAGGTAACACACAAATTGATTATCCACATCGAACTAATGCCTGTTACCTAAATTGGAAACGGAGTCAAAATCATTTTGACACTCACAGGGTTTCAATTATATTTGTTCTACCATCTTCAAGAAGAATTATCAGAGCTATATCCAGTGTTTATACAATTATCATGAACTTAAGAAGGAAAGTACGCTTGAATATCATACTAAAAATTGCTGTTTTTGAGGCAAACCGTGTAAGGCCTGTACGGCATTGTTATGACGCCAATTAGGCAAACTGGTCTGGGCAAAGTGACCCATTAACTTCGTTAGTTATTAGGACCAAAATAAAATAAAATTTCTTTGTTTTTTAGCTGTACTTATTTAAAATATATTTATTGATATTAAGGCCAATCAGTTGATAGGATATCTTTTTCTTTTGTTGGAGAACTTCCTAGTGAATATTTATTCACAATAATGGTTATTGTATCTTATGGAATCATGCTTGAATTAAAGAAAAACTAAACGTACACATATGTGCCAGTATCCCTCAAGAGGTTAATGCAAGCTTCGTACCGAGCAAAGAGGGTGGAAAAGGGCAGTTTAAAAAGACTCGCGTTAAGGAGCCCAGGGTCAGTTGTGTAGAATCAATCATTGAGTAAGGTTTTGTTCCAAAGAACATAATTCGATCGTTTACTTTTGCTCGCATCGCCCAAGTTCCTACCTTAGGATAAATTGCTTCAATAGATTGAACAAAACAACGGACAAGAAAATAATTGGTTGCTTGAATCCGCGACACGAGCATAACTAAAAAGCTGTGTCACCTATACGTGGGTGACACGGCAGTCGAAGTGTTAAGTTCGAAACTTTAAAAAAAACGAAAGAAAAATCGTGTTGCCCCTACCACGGGGTAAACCGGAGTACCGAAATTAGGGCAAGATGATTTGCCTGTATGTATATTATCGCAATTGGTACAAATATGTTTTTCTTCGGAATTAGATACTACTATCATTATTTTTATTATTATTATTCATTAGATTTATTATTGTTTTCGATGTGGCGTCCAAGAGACTAGAGAAGACACATACAATTGTTAGTTATAGTTAAGGGGACTTTCTCATTCAAAATTGAAAAAAAAGACACTTTTTTAATATTTCTTTATAAAAAGACTATTATATTTAGAAACATAATTCCTTTTGGACGCTATTATATATATTATTAAGAACATAAAGAAATGTTTTCTACCACTTTTAGTTCACCACGACCGCTGTAGAGGGCGTCTTCCAAAAAGCCACGTTTTAATCGGTGCGACACTTTGCAGACGTCCTGTAAAAAATTAAGTAAAAATTCAAACGGGATTCTATTCGTGAGACATAAAACTAGACAATAAACCTCTAAAAGTTCATAAAACTACCCCCCCTTTTTTAAACAGGGGAGAATTGCCCCCAAAAAAGAGTGATTTTTCGAATTTTTCGGAAAAATATGTATAAAACGATAAAAAATACAAAAAATAAAATATTTTAGAGGTTTATTGTCTAGTTTTAAGTCTCACGAATAGAATCCCGTTTGGATTTTTACTTAATTTTTTACAGGACGTCTGCAAAGTGTCGCACCGATTAAAACGTGGCTTTTTGGAAGACGCCCTCTACAGCGGTCGTGGTGAACTAAAAGTGCTAGAAAAAATTTCTTTATGTTCTTAATAATATATATAATAGCGTCCAAAAGGAATTATGTTTCTAAATATAATAGTCTTTCTATAAAGAAATATTAAAAAAGTGTCTTCTTTTTCAATTTTGAATGAGAAAGTCCCCTTAACTACGTGTTTTGATTCGAAACCCTTATACAAGATTCAACAATGAAGTACCCCATTATTCCCCGTACCAAAGACCCCATCTTGCCACAAACGATCGTTTTCCAGAAATCAATATACATATTTGCACAATAAATAAAAAAATATTCTAATTTTGAATATATCACATGAAAATATATGAAACCAAGGTTATTCTACAAGAAATGCAATAGACTTATCATTATTATTATAAATTTCTTCGTCGCACAAAATAATATTGACGTAGTCACGCAAAAAGTTGCACGATTTTCACAGCTAGAAATAAAAAACCCGTGTTACCCCCCTCATTGTTTTCGGCGACTCAATTATTACAACATAATAGCTTCTTATTGGTGTATTCTTCACATGTTTAACATCTTCCAGTTAACGATACCCCATCTTACATCGCTACTGTAATACTAAAACCTCCCCCGTTTTGACTTTCAGATGCTGCCAATGTTACTGGCAGTGCTCTGCACAGCACTACCGCAGGTGCTGTCGCAGAGCAACTACGCCTCACAAGGTAACAGCATCGAGTACCAGCCCGGCCTGCCGCCGAGCACCGTTCTGGACGGGAAGGTGACCAAACTGGACGACATCTCGTCGATGATATTCCTGAATCGCACCAAGGCGTACCTGAATTGCAGCCAGGGCAGCATGCAGGTCGAGTTGAAGTTCGAGGAACCGTTCTACGGGGTCGCCTACGCCGACTTCGATCGTAACAGCGCGTGCATAATCAAAGGCCGTGGATCGACCAGCGCCAAGCTGGAACTACCTCTAAAAGGTGCGTGGTGCTATCTTCCTTCTGGATTCAAGACTGTGCGGGTTCGTCATCCCCAGCGAGCGATTCGTACCGTTTACGATCTATAAACGGAGTATCGCACGGTGCCCACACGGGGAATAACATTGCGCGTGGGTCGCGATACACACTTCAGAAAAAGATTCTACTTTTTATATATTGAGCCTTCAAATATTGAGCTGTCCACGGAAATGTCGCGTATTCTAAGGCGATTTGTTTATTGACTCTGTATCTAGAGACTAGAGATATTACTTTTACCCGGCTACCTATGAGATACCCGGATAAATAAAAGTTACCCGATTACCGGTGAGATACCTGCTCAAATAGCACAAAAATATCATATCTACGACCGGAGAACGTACGTTCCGGACGTTCGGTACATCCGGAGGACGCCACAGTGGTTCGAGTCCTACATGGTAGGTGGACAAAACTATTTTTTCGCGATATTGAGTTCATACGGGGTTGTAATTGTTAGGAAACGATCCTGTTTCGTATCACAGTTTATTATCTCACTAAAAATATTAATAACAAAAACTATGACTAATTAAATGAAAGAAAAAAACAAAATTACTGTATTGCACTTTACCTATAAAATAAATGAAAATAAAAAGGAAAATACATAATAATCAATAAATACTTAAAAATAAAAACAAAAATGTAACTTGAAACAGATTAAATAGGCAGGCAAAACATTCCGCGTTCTTAACCGGATTAGCAGCACTTCTTTGGTATTCTGAACGTAAAGGTATTTCTGCAGCAAAAGTTATTTTATTGGCAGAATTTTCTTCTATAATCTTCGTCACTTTCCTTAAGAACATTGGTCTAAAGATTTAACTGATCTCCCGACAGAACAGGAGCTTGATGTTGAAGGAATTTTATTAGTATCAAGTGGACCTTCAAATAAACCAAAATCTTCCCCTTGAATCCAGTCTTCAATCTATTTAAAAAATACTCTCGCTATCTACCACCTTTATCCGAACGTTCCTTGATTCGGCTTACTATTTTAGATGTGTTAACACTTATCTTTTGACTAGTTACATTAGGCACATCAACACATCCAATTTTAACAAAAACTTGCCAAAATTTATTAAATTGAGCCTGACTACGAAAAATCTGCCAAAGATCGAAGAATCCATCCTTGGTATAGTAACTAGAAGAAATTATAAATATACACTACGTATAAAAATTAGAAGATCACTTAATCTTGACCAAAATATTGGCGATTTGGTTAATATTTGAATTATTATAATTTCGTGACAAAAAATGCACAGTAGCCTACCTGGACTCATTTTAAAAAGTGAAGTTTTAGTTTGAAGTTGCACCCTTTAAAATTTTACGTAAATACTTTTGGATTCGTCTAAAAAATTTTAATTTCCTTTTAGATTTTCCATAATTTTTATAAAAAATAAAATGTTTTATTCAACATACCTGGCTATATGAGAGATATAATGTATTATATAACGTGATAATGTAACAAAATAATAATAACAGCAACAACAATAATGACGGTAATAGTAACAAGAAAAATAAAAAAATTATAACAACCACAATAAAAACAGTAAAACTGAAAATTATAAAAAGACAAACACTACAAGGAAACGTATACTGCACACTGGTCGCTCAAAGGCTGAAGAAACGAATAAGAGTTGACGGGAAAAGCTGAGGATATTATCATTGTTTATGTTGGAAAATTCGAGGAAACGAGCGAGAGGTGATAGAAATATGTTTTAGTATAGGATATTATAAAATTGGTTCATAAGTATCAGCGGGAAGGCTAAATAAACCGCCAGGTGGCGAGTTTATCAGGCACGCTAGTATACCTATGTCACGGGCGTGAACGTTAAGATTAATTTTAACTGTAAGTATAGTTTTGCAACGTTTTGCAAGTCCAATTTGCTATAAAAAAAGCTAGAAAGTCTCTAGCTGAAAGTCAGCAATTTTTGTGCTCGAAGAAAATGCCAAGAAACATATATTAAGAAAATGATTTATTACAAGTTTAGTCTTAAGGAAGTGCAATAACAACACATGTAAGATATAGACGAAGGTATGTAGAGTAATTTGGCACCTTGTTTCCTTCACTGTTTTGTGTGGTTTTGATAAAATAACAATTGGAAGACAGTGTTTTTTTTTCGTAAAATCAAGTATAAAACATTGAATTACTTTTTTGCACCCCAAAGCACTCCGTTGCTTTTGATATATTTTTATCCTTGGACATTGCTTTATATATTTCTTGAAAAAGTAGGTGCTAAGAGGTGCTAAAACTATAGTTCTGTTCAAAAGTATCTCCTTACTTGTGCACTAGTGAAAAATTATTGAAATTCAATGTTCCATAACTTTGTTAATATTCGTCAGAGTTTGTTTAAGCAAAAAGCAAATTAAAGCTCAAACCTTCTACTTTTTTATTCTTTCATTCGATTTTATTTCACTCGGTGGCCAAGAGGTAAAATATTCCCCTATAAATAAAGCCTTCAAATTGTAAAATTTTGTTCATACTTAAGAACGGAAGTCCCTTATAGACAACAGTGTTCGGAATTTTGCATACATTTCAGAAATAATAATTCTTTGCCTTCAAAACTAGTCAAACTGCATCCAAAACGGATATTTTTTAACGAAGGTATAGTCATTTACAGAACGAAAGACATGAAACCATAAAGAGGCAAGCATTTCTGTAAATGGCCATAACTTCGTTAAAAAACATCCGTTTTGGATGCAGTTTAGCTTGTTATGAAGGCAAAGAATCATACGATAGGGGCGTATATTGTATGGTTGATCTGATGATGGGGTAATTCAGGTGTGGATGATCGATCGATGAAGGACAGATATATCATAAGCAAGAAATACTGTCTGATGAAAAATCTTGCACAGCATTTTCTGACGAAAATTAATTCTACTATATATTGCAAATAAAAAAAATTCTTAAAATATATATTATTATATATATTATATACTATAAATCAGAATGTTTATGATCGTAGGTACCATCGACCCGCGTGCATCCATCGCTGTCAGTTGATTGTTATCCTATTAAGTAAATTTCGTCTGTCAATTCCTGACGATTGAAGTTTTTAGTATGTTATTAATTTTATTCGAACTAGGGTTCGCTGATGACCTTCTATTAGATTAATTTTATTAGGACTAGGGTTTGTTGATGACCTTCTATTATATGTATACATATCTTACCGTACACAAAATATTTGAAGAGTATTGATTTCCTTTAAATGACTGCATCCTTGTTAAACAACATAGTTCTTCGTTGAGGTTCGGTTTATTTTAAAGACAAACAATCATACTTTCCGGTGGTATATATCAAAATTGCAAAAAAATATTGTTTGCACTCCGTAGCACTTGACGAACATCAGGGAAAAGTACAGTTTGGCATACTCCTATTGAAGGGTGAATTTTACCCTCTAGACAACCATTTTGATAAAATTGATTTTGAAGAACCAAAAACTAGAAAGTTCAAACTTTAAAAGGGTTTTCGTTTCATCCACTTTCGATGAATAGTAACAAAGTTATGAGATTTTGAAGATTGGGTAAATTTTAAAATAGTTTTGGCCAGCTTTTCGGGTCAAATACTCCACTGTGCGACGTTACCTTGTAAAGTCACAGCTCTATTACAGACCACTTGTCTCAGAGATGGGTTTGAATTTTTCTTTTACTATCACCATCTAGTAAACAATCTTGAAAGCTCTAGGCGTTTCGGTACCTTTTATTATGTAGACAGTAACCAGCAAGTCCCCTGTTTCTGAAACGATAAGAAGAACTATGTAACATTCAGTTGGTTACTATGAAAGTGTCACAAAATTAGTCATCGTTATTTCCGAGACTAGTTAGTCATTGTCATATCTGAGACTGGTCTGTAGCTAACAATCAGGGTTCACGCTTTTTCAATCCTTCCGTGACTAATGGGACAATACGTCCTGAGGTAATTTTGACAATGTCTGCTGGAATGTATGTTCGCAAATTCAATTATTTTGTCCTCGAAAATATAATTTACAAGAAAAAAATTCATTAGACGTTCAGCAGTCAAGTTCGAGGAACGGCCTAAAACTCTGTGTTCAAGCTGTATTAAGTGCTTTACACCGTGTCGTTCGTAATATTATAAGTAATAACTTTATTCTATTCACCAAATGGACTTTGTTATCCATTTTGCAAGACATTTGTCATAAATGAGTAAACGTATTTATCAATTTGTTATAATTTTTCTGTCGACATTCAGACCTATTGGAACATACGATCCTATTGTGAAGGACTAATGTGACTTGTATTTCCGATTTTCAAAACTATGTTTAACCCATTTTGATTCTTCGGATTTTATCAGACATTATATTACTGAGTTCGTTGTTAAAAAACAAATCCATTTCGAAAGGGTTAATGTTAATACTAACAGGGAGACATCCTGACAACGAAAATTTCGTTCAAATTGGCATGAATTTGTAAAAAATTACAAAACTACTGAAAACTTGTTTGTTTGTTTTTATTAAAAAATGATTTAAAAGGATGCAATAGCCCCTAAAAGTTCGTCGCTCAAAACATACCTTTTACGATTTCGTATGAACTAATTGTCGTATCGAAAAATGTTTGAAACGAAAGTTACTTAATTTTGAATGTAGAGTTATACGTGTGTATAAAAATATGTTATCTGCGATTTGTAAAAAAGAATTTAAAACTCTTATTAAGTTACTGGAATATTATTATAAATATATCACTACATTAAAGTTCCTATCATTTCATCGCAATATAATTACAATGATGTTTGAATCCCTTAAACAAATTGTTTAATTCTTGAAGAGGGGAGGTCTTCTTTAAAACCCGCAGATAATACATTTTTTATGCACTCGTACAATTCTACGTTGAAAACTAAGCAACTTTCATTCCAAACATTTTTCGATACGACGATTAGTTTACACGAAATCGTAAAACGTATATTTGGAGCGTCGAACTTCGAGTCGAACTATTTCACCCTTTTAAACTATTTTTTAGCAAAAACAAAAAAGTGCGTGTTCAATAGTTTTTAATTCTTTACAAATTCAAGCCAATTTGAATGGAAAACAAGTTTTCTCACTGAGGATTGTACCTTGTTAGTTTGACTTTGTACAGTAAATCATCGATGTGTGTTCGAAGGCTCCTAGACACTGACAACAACTGGTCCCGAGATGTAACGCTGGCTTTTTAATGAGGATTAGCACGGTGATAGAATTTGTAATTCTGAAGTTAATGATATTTTTTCAGTCGCATGTGACCATTAGGTTATGAAATATTTAATGTTCAGCACCGAGGAGCCTTCGAACACTCATCGAGGATTTACTGCATTATATGTAGAATCCACCCTGTGAATGTGCCCCACATTTTTATCAACACTCTGTATATCGGAAGCGTGCAGTTAGTGGAAACAGTTTAGGTGACTGCAATGATGTTCGATGTTCCAGGATGTGGCACGAGGCAGGACCCTCAACGCGTGTTCACCAACAATGTCGTGGTACGGTTCCATCCCGGCCTCGAGATGGACGGCGATGAAGTTATCACGATAGTATGCAGATATCCACCGCCAGTGGCGCCTGCGCCGCCCAAACCACCCGAAAGCATGTAAGTAATTCACCCCGAAGCCTTCTACTTCGTGCTCTGTATACACAATGTGTCGCTGAAGAGCTAGAACTTGTTTATTTCCGATATTGATTTTGACGTTAAAAAAACAATTCGTAAGAAGAAATATTGCTTTCGTTATTATGATTAGACTACGCTGCGTCTCACTCTACTTTAAGTCCTTTAACAAAGTTGTGCAGTTACTTGACTGTTCTTTTCTTTTTGTTATATTTATTGGTAGGTATTCACACTCACAAGGTAACCTCGGTGACTGATACACGCCGAGTGTGATGTAACTTTCCATAAATGTTCATTAGACCTATCTAAGAATTTAGTCGTAAATCACTCGTGCCCGTTTTTTACTTTAAGGGAGAAATTAACCCTTTCATCCGAGCCGATCCTTCTATAGTATAAGTGCTTATAAATCTTAAACCACAAAAGATATTAAAATATTGTTTAAATGAAAGTGATACTATTTCTTCGGGCGTATAAATCTGTACAAACATTTTGATGAAAAAATGTTTTCAGATAAATTTAATAACTTATTCTTCCAGAACTAAAAAGAAATTGTTATGTTAAAAATTTTTTGCACATATTTATACGCCTCAAAGAACGGTATAACTTTTAGTTAAATAATTTTTTGATATTTTTCGTGGTTTAAGATTTATAAGGACTTACATAGAAGAGTCGACTCGGATAAAGGAATTCATTTCTCTCTTAAACTAAAAAATAGGCACGAACGAATGACGGCTAAATTTGTAAGTAGGTCTAATGAACATTAATGCAAAGTTGCATCAAAATCGGGGTGTATCATTCATTGGGATTCCCTTGTTAGTTCTTCTTTTGGTAACCCTACTGTGAAAAATCGCTTCGCTTTACGATAGCCATTACAGCTATTACGTCCACCTGATTTCAAAATCTTAACTTCAATAAAGGATTACAAATTGTAAGTGAATTAAAAGTGAATTAAATAGAGCAGAGGGTCCAGTAAAGTTAATAGAAGATTACAATAAATTTATAACCAAACGCAAGGATAAAAAATCATTGTTATCATGAACTTGTAAAAGGTTTTTCCTAATGGTTCCTCTGATCGTAATAGGGATGCGATCGTGCAGTCTGTATGAGATAATAAGTGAAGAACAATATCGTAACGTAAAATATTTAAGGTTGTATTTGCTAGTATCTTACATTTAAACACAGTGACATATTTCAAATGATATGAAGAACCTTGTTTCGCTAAATTCTACTCTGAACTCACGAAACGAAACCGATAAAATAGCTCTCGGACTGATACTTTCGGGGGCTACTGTGATTAAACGCGATTTTCGTCGGTAGTGGTTCCAGAAAGAATATTAAATACCAATAAAAATAAAGAAAAAAGAGAGGTAGATAGCTGGATAACTTTGGTGGAGAACTTGAAGTGCCATTGGATTACAATTGTTCTAATGAGCGAGATCGAAAAAATTCAACAAAAAATTTTTCATCATTTGTAGAAAAGAACCTACCCTAAATGCTGTCTCAGATGTGATACGGCGAGTCGGTGATCTCGTGAGTAAGTGGTGAAGAAATAAAAATCGTTGGACCGTGGCAGTTCTTACTTTGCAACCAGCATGGCCGAATGAGAGAACGGCCACGCTTCGACAATTTTTATTTCGTCATTGCTCCCACATAGAAGTAAATAGTGACTCGCTGAACCACGCGCTGTCTAAGACCACCAATTATTATTTTAGCTGATAATAATTTAAAAATATAGATTTATTCTGAATTGTTCGTATATTTCTAAAAGTAGGTTTCTTGTAGAATATTTTACGTTCATTTTATGTGTACATTACATTGATTATAATGAATAATGGTTACATCTATATTTCACAAATAAATTAATCGTATTTCCTAAATCGTACCACGACAGGGTTTCTTCAATCCTACCGTGTACGATTATACGTCACATAATGTTGAATTACTAGATGACGGGAAAAAGAAAAGGTTGTCTCGTGACAATTTATATATTATATAAGAAAATATAATTTAATATGCGATATGAATTAATATTTACGTAAATATGTTATTTTTTTAGTTTGTATACCTAGGATGTTCCTTTGTTTGTTCTTAACATATGTATATAAATATGTACACATTAGTAAATAATTCCCTTTTTCACCCATAATTTGTTCAGTATTTCTATTTGCAAATATTTTTAAAGGAGGTACAACATAGGAGATCAGCTGTTTGCATTATACATTTTATACGTATTATAGGTATTTAACATCTAAGAACAGCTGCCTTAAATATCAAGCTGGAATGGCTGATATTAACTTGCGTACCAAATAGGAAATATAACATAAAATATCTTAAGTGGTACGATATAGGCAACTCTCCTTTATATCTATACAGGGTGCCTCAGATTGAGTAATACAACCGAGCAGGAGACAGAAGGTGATTATACAGTATATCCGGTTTAAGTGTATACATATATACTATCATTTCTTTAACTATGGGCGTGAAAAAGTGTTCGATTTTATGGAACAAACTTAATAGAATATTGAATTTTTTTAATTATTACAGAGGTTTTAATAACAATTTAACTTTTTTAAATGGAAATACATATTATGATTATGCAATGTTATAAAGCATTTCAATATAAATTCTACGACGTATTGAAAATTAGTTTTGAACAATAATTTATCAAGTTCGGTTAGCGGTATTTGCCCATAACGTGTGGTTCTCCAGACAAGAAACAATGAAACAGTTTAATAATTATTACTCAACGTATATGGCGTTGAATTCATTTTTTTTCTTTTGGCAATAATATAAATATACAGCCACTTAAAAGATTACATAGTCATTAAAATCTCTGTAAATAACAATTAAAATAAATTCAAATTTCTATTATATTTGATCTACAAAATGAAACAACATTTATATGCAACATTTCTTCGCATTTTCAATAGTTAGAGAAATAACCGCGTCTATATGTATATTTAAACTGGACATACCATCGTATAAGAAAAAATAAGTCGAAAAAAAACACTAAATTATTTTCATCTAACGTTTCGTTTTCGAGAAAATCGAATTTGAAAATTAATCTGAAATGCGTGTATCGTCATGGTAGTAAGTAGAAACAGAATGCAATGAACAGACGCGCTAGTCAAGTCCTATTCAGTTGCACGCGTATCTAGAGAAGGGCCAATTCAAGTAAATACAAGTAAATAATCGATACTTTCGTTTCGACACCGAGTATTTTTAGTATCGATACTTTCGGTTGCGATACATACTCGGTATCGAAAAAAAGTATTCATATTGATTGGAATGAATATTCAATATGAAAGCTAATGAATGTGAAGGTGGTTGTCGTCCAGTTATACTACTTTGTTAATAAATCTTTGTTAATAGAACGTGTATTCATTAATAAATGTTCATTAATAAAACATATCTTCGTTAAAATAAAATATGGGCAAATTGATAATCTAGATAAAGTTTCAAATAACGAATAAAAGATAAAAATGTATTTCGTCATTTTTAATCATGTAACGTGGAAATTCCAATTTTTAGAACATAATACTTCTTCCTGAATGAGTCGACATTTGGCAAACAATTATTTAATCTCATTAACTGTTTGAAGCTCAAAATGACGGCCACAGACACTGCAGCTTTTCACTATGTATTATTCGAATAAAATTCTCCTCAATTCTGGTTAAGAACTCATTTTCCTTCGGTACAAGTAGGTATCGATACTCTTGATGCGATACTAAGTAGATATCGATACTATTTTTCGATACACGTTATGAGCAAAAGTATCAATACGTTGACGCTATCGGTTTATCCCTAATGGTAGTAAGTAGAAACAGAATACAATGAACAGACGCGCTAGCCAAGTCCTATTCGATTGTACGCGTTCCAGCAGACCTTAAAATTCGATTACCTCGAAAACAAAACTTCAAACGAGACAAATTTATTCTTCTCTTTCGACTTCTTTCCGCTTATAAAATCACCTCCTGTCCGATTTTACTATTCGTCCGAAACCGGCTATATGTTTGCGAGATATTGTGTGTGTACAACAGATCACGATTGACCCAACTGAAACTCTAACTGAGAACCACTGAAATTCCGCGTAGAATATATCTGCATCTTCTTGAGCAAGATATACAATAGACGTATTCTGGATGTGCTAGCACTCGTCATTGACGGTGGTTTATGACACGGCATAGTAATGCTTAAGCCTAGAACGCATGTAACGAAGATACATATTTTTGATAAAGGGGATGTCTTCGTCACCTCTGCAGACCGTGCACATTTCATGTGCAAATGTCTTATGGAAATGTCTGGAATTCCGGACAATTCAATACTGTTCACCGTGTCGTAAACCAGGAATCTCCAAACGGTACGAAAGTTGGCCTTCGCCCGCGCAGAAGATACAGTCCTCGCTAAGATATAGCGCCGTCGTAAAATTGGCCAAGCGGAAAAAAAACACACGGTTCGAGCGTTGAAAGATCCGTTTATGTGATCAAAGGGGAGATAAGGACTTCGAGTAACGTTCAATGCTGTACGATGTTAATTCAGATCCAAAATGCTTCTAACTTTCTGTATTATTAATGACAGCCTGCAAAAAGTTAAAGTTCTTTCAAATATTCCAAATATTAAACAGAATTTACAGTTACCCTTCGTAGTAAATGGCCACCTGAATATCTCAGTTGTGACTGGTGATGGGAAACAATGTCTCGGACCAAACGTGCATGGTATCGAGGAGCACGTAATTTGATGTAAATACCAATTTTTGTAAGTGGATGCGTAGAGATCATATGAAGGTCAACTTAAATTTTTTTAAATGGAAGGACATGTTGTTTTATGTACCATCTACTAGAGCGTTTCAAGACACATACAATGACCTATTTATGAGGATACGTAGAAAAACATATCTTTCCTTTTAGAAAAACAAAGCTGACTTTCACATGACTTCTACGTGTCTACCTATCAAAAAACTATTCACATCAAATTATCTGCTCCTCGATACCACGCAAGTTTGGTCTGACACATTTTTTTCTATCATCAGTAACAGCCGAGATATTCAGGTGGCCTGTTTTACATGACTCACCCTGTATAGTTAGTCGACAACCTTTTCCGGTTTATTACATCGAACGTCGATTTAAACATCTATAGGAGGTGTCGCCGCTCAACGCGATAGTTTACGACCGCACTGTATCTTAGCAAGGCTTACGGTAAAATTTTGCTAAGAGCTCGAATCTCGAGACCGTATGCGGACACTTATAGTGGAGCTGCAAATACGCTACTTTTCGAACCGCGAGTGGGTTACCGTTTTTTGCTTGCTAGTCAGTTGCAGGCAACAATGTGGTCAAACCAAAATGTCAAAAAATAGATATTCTATAATTTTCATTTCACGTTATTGGGATTATCTCTAACAAACTGGTAAAATTTATCTGATAAAAGTGAGCCGAAACACGGTAATCATTGGACTATTTTAAGTTATGTATCAATACTCACTAAACACATTATAAATCAGATAGCTTTAAGCTGTTTCACTATTATTACATTCAACAAGATTTAAAAATTAGAAACGCTCGATACTATATGATCCGACGAGGAAGAGTTATGGGTTTATAGAATGTGATAAATAAAGATAACAAGAAGTATCACTGTCACGGCGCGAAAACAATTTTTGATGTACGGTTTTTTATTGTTAAAAATCTGTAGCCTAGCCGTTTAAATTTTCCTCACAGGTGTGCGTTTTTTGATACTGAAAGGAAACGATGATCGTGACTATCGAAACATATAATAAACAATATACACACATAGCAAAGATGACTTCGTTCCACCGTATCCTTCATCTTCTATGTATACATAAAACGCAAAATATGTATGTATGTTTGTTAGCTAAAGGCTTCTATACAGTATCTGCACCAAATGTAGCATGAATATTCTTCAACACACCAGAAAAAATACTGTGGAGGAGCCCACCCCCTAACCACCCCTAAAGCCCTCTAACACTTTCAGAGACACATTTTTTTCTGAACGAAACATTAACTCTAGAACTACCAAACCCGTCAAAATACCTGATTACAGATTTACTATGTTACCATTACTAAAATTATAATGGTGTCTTTGACGAACTCTACGTTGACTTTTAATTTACTACAGATTTTTTTTCATACTACAGGGTGTCTCACCCGATTTTGACATCTTGATTTTCTCGCTATTGTTACTCGTAGCAAAAAATGTTTCAGCGGAGGCTTGAATGGTATCAAGTGGAGCATATTCTGATGTTATTAGTTTTTTCATGAGTGAACGCGTAAAAGTTATATAAAGGTCAACTTTGTATTCTTAAATGGAATAAGGTATTTTTTAATACATCAGTCGATGCAGCTGGACATTGGTTATAAAAAAGTACTAACCAGTGTATGTCGAAGAGTTAGTAGTTCAGGAGATATTTCAATTTAAATAATTCTAAAACACCATTACTGTCGTACAAAGACGTTAGCGTTTATTTACAGGAATGGTAATAATGTACGTAATTGAATTCTCAAGAGTCTAAAATGTACTGGCACGTGCATACTAATTACATAATTGATCGAAAACATTAAGAAAACTGAGAAAAAAAGTGGTACGTATACGTATCACTGCTTCTGAACGGGTTAAGCCCAAGCAACGCCAAGCACACGCAGCTAATTACTTTATAATGAATTATATTCTTAGTAAAAAAATATTGCAAGTAACTCATATTTCCACATATTTTTTTATTGTATATTAAAATTTGTTATGTACATCATCATGCATATAAAACGCATATTCTAATACCCGACTTACAAGGGATGTTACATGACAGCCAACGCGTTAACACTTTAACGCCTAGACCCTTAAATCGTTAATATGTTATTATTTTGAAGACGAAAATAGCATCTTATACCGTTCTATTTTTTTACTTTATTTTTTCGTTTTTATTTATTTTTGGAGGGAGCACTTGAATTTCTTTACCAAAAATATTGAGATGTTCTTCATATCAATGAAACTACAGATCTCTATTGACAAAAGTTCGACATTAACCAGCGACAATATTTGACGCATTTTTAAAATTAGTGCTTGCACGGATGCAACACTGGGAATTGAGGGGGGAGCTTGGTGTAAACAGCTAAAAATGAACGAATTTTTGGAAATTTAATGTGAAGGAAGTATTACAGCAATCTCGTTGAAACTTTGAGAATACTTTATTGTACAACTAAATTGAATACAAACACGTTTATTTTCTTTTATGGGCTGTCCATGAGCAAAAAAGGTGTGCCACACCGGGGTACCCTAGTAGCAATTACTGTTGGCATTTTGATGGGCCTTTGATGCACTATTGGTTGGCCAATAGTTAGAATTGTTACCCTTTTTTGTAACTAGGCCAACAATCACACCCAACGTAGAGCCCACGTCACTATACTACGAAGGACCAACTGGAAGTTTCTTTCTGTAGGGCCAATTGTCGAGTATCTACAATAAACCAACAATAGGAAGACAGTTGGCTATATTACATTTCCATAAAATTTTATGTATATTAAACAGATAAATAAGTGTTTTACCAGCAAAGTTACCTTTACAATTTATTATGTACGATTTATACATGCAGCTAATTATTACAAATAATTATTATAAGTTATTTCCAGTCTTCTGTCCCCTGACTCTATTTTCACAAAATGTCAAAAGACAAACGTGTTGCGCGACAGTACCAAATTGTGAGTATATTCATAAATAAGAAAACAAAAAAATCAATTTGAAATATAATAACAAGTTCTTGGTTGTAGCAACGTTTCTGATGTCTTTAACACGATATTTAAATGTTGGCAAACTTTCGGCGGGCCAATGTTGTATTATTATTGTAAGTTTCCTGTTAATTAACCAACTATAATAATTGTAGGCCCAACATTGGATACTCGTTGGCAAATTGTCATAACTCTTCCGTCATAAGCCCTATTTTGAAATTTTGTAGGCAAAAACACTAACTATATCCCAACTAACTCCCAACTGTTGAATACCGTTGGCCAACCATAAATGTTACTAGGGTATGTAAATAAAAGAATATTCAACCAACGGACCCAGCCTTTTATGCACATATTCTATAACATCTTCCTCACACCATGAACCAATTTTGAAGTTATAAAATGCAAAATTGAAAAACCGATGACATTTGTTTAAAAAAAGGTAACTTTCTTCGGGTAAAAGATGCTAAAAAATATGTTTTATTGAAACAGTCAAATTATAAATGTAGGTTCATGCTGTGAAGAAAATATTAAAGAATATGTACATACAAGATTGAGTCAGTTGGATGAATACTTTTTAAGTTACATTCTCCGGTGCAGAACGCCTTTTTGTGCTCAGGGGTTGCACATAAGTCCATATAACTATAATATTTATAGATTTGTCGTGAAAATCCAAATTTTTGTATTCAGTTTAATTGTACAATAAAGTATCATCAAAGTTTTAAAGCGTTTAATAATTTCTTCACAAAAAATTCCCGAAAATTCATACATGTTTAGCCCGTCCATGCCAGGCCGTTCCTCCCTTAAGGGGTCATGCTCAATCAGAAATAAAAAAAAAATCGATTTTTCACTTTCTACATTTTCTTTAAGTAAATCTCAAGAATATTCTGTGCAAGTTTCAAGGTAATCCAATTAAAAATGACAGAGTTACAGGCGTTAAAAAATGAACATTTTTTATAAATGTAAGCTTAACTTGAAACTTAAAACGCGTTTTTCTCGAAACTACATTTTTCAAATCGGTGATCAATATTTCTCGAAAACTACTGTGTCGAATTACATGAAACCGTTTGCGCCTTATTTCAAACCAGAAAAACTTGTCCTTGAACGAAGGTTTTTTTTGTTCGTTCCATACTTTTATTTTAATTGACCAAAAACGAATGATTTTTAGGTGAAAATCGCACTTTTTTAGGAAAATGTCCGCCATTTTGTTCCTAATCAATATTTCGAAAAACCTCACGTTCAAGGACAAGATTGGTTCTTCCATTACCTAAATCTTACTGAATTTTTAATTTCAAACGAACCGTTACGAAGTTACAGTGATCACGGCAGACCACTTTTTGTGAAGAGACATCCGTGAGATCGCTCACCATTTATTGACTAATAAATATTTTTAAAAGAAAAAAGTACCAAAGAACACTCTTTTTTCGGCCTGCTGACTGAGCATGACTCCTTAAAGGGTTCAGGTAGATACCGATCTCAAAATTTGTTTGTCGTTTGCCCACAGTATCGCCACAGCGACCGCCTCGCCGTTGCCTGATCCTCCACTGAAGGGATTCCAGATTCTCCTGATCATCTGCGCGATCCTGTTTCTCTCGTTGCTGCTGTTGGGCCTGGGCTGCTCGTACATGTGCCTGAAACGGCGAAACGTTCGTGTGATCCATCGTCACCCGTTCGGCTGCGGTTCAGGCTCCGAGATAAAAAAACTCTCGACCTCTTCGCTGAGCAATATCACGATGTTCGAGGGCCTGAAAATCCCTCGGGCCCACGCGCTTCTGCACGCGCCTCCATCGACCACAGGGAGCGACGCGAATCTGATGATCGACCACTCGCTGCCCAGCGATTACCCGAGCGAGAGCTCCGAGGTGAGTCGTTCGATGGATTTCATTTCCATATTTTATAATAATAATAATAATCATAGTTTATTGAGACGGGCGTACATTTGCCCAATATACATTCATATAATAAAAAACACTTATTGTAATAGAATTAAACTTAATCATATTTAACGTTACAATTAATGAAAAGAAAAGAACAAGAGAGAAAGCAAATAGAAGTAGAAGTAATAATACGTTATACTTAACACAATGCATAAATTCATGCGAGTATGTGCGCGCGCGTGCACATACACATACAGTGGCAAACAAAAGTATTGTCACAGGAGGTATGACTATACATAATGTTAAATAAATATAAAAAGAACGCAGTTTCTTGTTTAATCCTTTTTTCAAATGTAAGTCTGGAGTCCGAAGTTCAAATATATTACAAGTCATAAAAGTTAAATAGACCTGTAACAAAAAAAAAAAATAAAAACCACATCGTGGCTCGTTTTCAGCGGAACAAAAGTATTGGCACACCTACGTTTTTTTAATATAATTTATTATATTGTAAGATCTAATATTTGGTATTTAAACCTTTTCTTCTAATAACTTCTTTTAATCGATTAGGCATTGAATTCACTAATTTTTTCGTCATCTATGACCCTATTTTATGCCATTCTTCTAAAATTGCTTGTTTTAACTGTTGTTTATTTACAATATGGTGTTTTTTTAATCTTCGAGCTAATTCGTTCCAAATATGCTCGATAGGATTTAAATCCGCTGACCGTGGTGGAGTGGGTAACATATGAGGTGTGCTGAAAACTATCCATTGTCGAACAATATAGGCGGTGTGCTTAGGGTCATGATCTTGTTGGAAGTAATAGTCGTTTCCGAGATATAATTTATTCACGTTTTTTTTTAAATTCTGTTTTAAAATGTTTAAATAAACATATTTATCCATTATAGTATCAATAAACACAAGCTCTCCTAGGCCCGAAGAGCTCATTCACCCCCCATACTAGCACACCGCCACCCCCATGTTTGACCTTTTTACTGGTGTTCCTTTCATTTAATTCTGTGTTACATTACCGCCATACTTTAACTTGCCCATCCGATTGATAAATATTAAATTTGCTTTAATCCGAAAATAAAATTTTGTCCCAAAAGTTTCAATCTTTATTTACATACATTTTTGAAAATTCTAATCTTTTTATTCTGTTCGTCTTACTAATAAGCGGTTTCTTTCTTGCGATTCTTGAATTATATCCGGCAGCTCTAATTGTAAGTGGGAGAAGAATCGCCAAAATAGATGAGCGGTTAATAAGAGTAGAAAAGAGAAGGGAGAAATTTAGGCAAGAGGAAGAAGGAGCGAACGGGATTGAATGCGGGAATGAATTTAGATAAGGTAGTGCAAATCAAGTTCATTTCATAGCAAGTCAGGCCGAAATAAATATATTTATGTTCATGCAGATGCATAGACGAAACTCTGGCAAGTCCGTGCATACTTTTAGAACTTTTCTATCATGTGCTAATACAGTAGGGCCGCCCTGTAACATAGAAAATACGTTCCGCGTTATACGAATTTCGTGTTATACAGGATCCAAAGCGCAAAAACTTGAAACAAAATAAAACAGTTTTATCTAATATAACAAAAAATAATGTGGATTTCATCTCATTTTAGAATAATAAACACGTAACCTTCTTTGTTTATAGGTATGCACAGAATAACTTAAGATTTTTAATCGCATTATACGGAGATAGTAGCGCAATTTTTCGTTCGTGTTATAGGAGTAACGTGTTACACGGGATTCTACTGTATGTTGTGAAAGTGAGTCAAGGATGTAATGATTGGTTGACCATCATACAAACAAATGATTAATGATGATAGATATTTATTTTTAAATAACAGAATTTTGCTAACAAGATAGGGTTTTTAGGTGTCCACCGCTGATTGCTTTGGTTTTCAGATATATTTTGAACGACCGAAAAATAGAAAATATAAACATATGTTTCTTTATTTTGGCCTGTTTTCATATTTACATGGGGTGAAACGGCCCCACAAAGTTCATAAGAAATTGCACAAAAGTTCCTATTTTTAGTTTAAAGAATATTATAACATTGCGTTGAATTAAAATCTTATATAAATTTAATTTGTTACATGTTCATACATTATATATATATATGTGCTGTAACAGGACAATGTAGGTAAGTGATAATAAAATAAAACTTTAATAAGACTTGATCTTAAAATAATCATACAAAAGTCGGTACTATTTTTCTATGAAAAATGACTGGAACCTTGTATTTATTCTTTATGCAAAGGGTAATATCCTGCTAAAAGTGACTGACGACAAGAACATCATACATACAGCAAGTTATGACACAAATTAAATTTATATCAGGTTTTATTTAACGTAATGTTATAATTTATTTTATATTTAAAAATGTAATTTAATTTACTAATTTTATTAAATTCTATACGGTCTTCTCGTCCCTTATTTACACTTAAGCATATTCGTTAAAATAACAATAGGAACTTTTGTACCTTTTCTTATAAACATTGAGCAAAGGTTTCACCTCCATAAATATAAAAATGGACGAAAACAAAAAAAGACGTTTTTGTTATTTTTCGGTCCTGGAAAACATATCCGTAAACGAAGAAAAATGTTCATAAAGAAATTTTCTCTTTACGATAATCCTGCTTTTGAAATCATTCAAGCTGTGTGTTGAAACATTTCTGATATCATTGAAAATGAAGGAGATATTTAGGTACTCGGTCTTAGCTGTAGCACCCTGTACATACTACATATCGAACATCTGTCTGTTCCAAAGTGGTTTATAACTTCGAACGGTCACTGACTATTTGATTGTATTCATAGTACATCTGTACAACAGCTGCAAGCAGGTGCTGCACCATTCTATTTTTTTTCGTAAACTAAATACAACGGTAGATTGTATCGAGTAGTAATTAATTTTTGTTGTATTACAAATTCATAATTCAGGCCAAGAAAGGTTAACAGCCGCGTTTGCTAATAGTCTGCTATGTTCCGCATTGAGCAGCGTGGCGTATACTGTACGTATAAAATTGTACATCTTTTATTGAATGCGGTTGTAATTTGCGATTATGTAATTATAATGGTTGACCGTAAAAAATGTATGAAGACTTAACGCATTACCTACCATCGGCTGTTTAATTGGTTCTTAGACTTAACGATAAACAACCAGGATGTCTCCGTACATTTTTCTGTCGCAATAACAAATTACAATCGAGACGAAGCAATACGGCAGTCCTGATAATGTAATGTGACAGTTTCTTGTTTGAAGCTTATTTAAAACGAAATTAAGAGGCTTTTTATTGATAGCACTGACCTGTCGTCATTATGTTACGTTGTCAAGTAGGTCACAGTCCGTACAATTTGTTTCCTGAATGATTAAACACAACGACGTGAAGATAAATTGAATTTCAATTATTAGAATGTTCTTGGAAATATGGCGCAACTTCGCTCGTTTTATTTCTTCTGACATAGTTGTTACAACAGGGAAGAAGAATTTTTTGCGGACCGCTGGCAGATGATCATAGATCAAGGTGGAGTGTACTTTGCTAATTGAGATTATACTCTGTTCTATTTTCAACTTGACAAATTACCATTCTGAAACGCGCAATCTTTTCTAGGTCACTTCGATAAATTGCTACCTTTAGTAAAGAAACATGTCTTAATTGTACATTATTCAGTGGAATTAACACACGCAGAATTTTGCGTGTGTTCAAGAAAACAACAAATCGTTTTGAATCGAACGTAAAACAAAACTTTTCCAACCGTAATTAACCCTATAATACCTGAATTTTCATTTTAAGAAAAAAACGTTATTTCCTTCTTTACTCTTTATTATCATATTGATAAATATAAAAATTCTAAGACACATCTAGAAACGTAAGGTTTACTTTTTTTCATACGTCACAAAATCGTCACATTCGTCCTTAAATTAACTCCAAAACATTCTACTTTCTGTATTATGTACGTCATAACCAAACGTCACGAAAACGTCACGAAACACTCAACGTTGCAGAGTTAAACATTAATACGACGTTATCTTCATCAAATGTCTTATTAATTTGTTCACTAAACAAAGGTCAAACTCGATTTCCAGGTGGACGAAGAACCATCGCTGCCTGTATCCTCTGCAGGCTCGTACGACAACAAGGCGTTCATTCACCACGAGACCCACCAGCGACAAGAGATGCGTACCACCAGTTCCCTCTACTCGGAAACGGTCGCCGCCGAAGTGGAGACCTCCTCCATGATAGCTGCGAACGCATCGAGAACCGGCGTTCCTCGTCACATGGTGGCGGTCCCAATAGAGCCCAAGTTCGACGTGCAGATGAGAGTGAAGAGAGCTCCGCCGCCTCCACCCAGCCCTCTGCCATCCGAATCCGACGTGGCGAGCGTCGCATTGGAGAGAAACCTGACCACGATCCTAGAAAAAGAGGAGACGAGTATGACTCGAAGCCTCGAAAGTCCACCGGCCAGAATGACCACGTTCTCCTACGTTCCGGAGCTCCACGGACCCCCGGGAGGAGGAGCATCATCCCCATCAACGATCTCACGGCAACAAACGCCGCCCGTTTACTCGAGGATTCTCCGAAAACAGGCTGAACGAGAGACGACTACCAGCACCAGTATGGTACAAGAACGGATCCCGTCGCCCTCCCCGGTCGAACAACCGCCTCTCCAACATCACGAGATCCGCAGACCCAGATCCTTGACCTCGTTGAATACCGAACTGACCGAGACCCGTTCCCTCACGGAAGTGACCGATCACACCCACGCCAAGTACAGAGTAGCCAGCATCCTGGCGCCAACACCTCCGCCACCTCCGCCGATCATTCCGACAGCGACCACCACTCATACGGCGATACAGCATCGTGAACACCATCGTCTGTTCCGCGAGGAAGTGACGGAACCGTTGGTGGAGCCGCAGGTGGTCGCCCCGAGACGTCCAGAGATCACCACCCACGAGGTGGACGATGTATTCCTAAAGACGGTCACGGAGAAGAAAACGATCGAGGACGTGGAGCGTCACCGTAGACAGGTGACCGAGTACAGAGCCCGGCCCCAACCCCCGCCAGACCCCAAATGGGACGTGACGATCAGAAACTATCCGACAGAGAATCTTCCGCCACCACCGCCCGAGTGGGAGAACTTCTCCGATGTCAGTTCCACCTCGAACTTAACCATCACGAACGAACCGACCGGAAACCAGAGCGAGCTACCGATAGACGAGGAGCCTGACGTCAACATAGAGCCAACGTGTTCAGCAGACTGTCCCGCGTTCTGGATCCCCGTTACGGCGCCGACTTGAACGACGAGGAACGCACTAGATGGCGTGAAATAATCACCACAGACAGCACCCTGCGGACACTGTTGACGGAGGCCGTGGTCAAGGAGGACTACGAGCTGATCCGCAAAGACGCGAGATACACGAACCTATTCCCGCCGGCCAAGTGGGACGTGATCATCCGTATCCTTGGCCCACCCACGAACCAAGCCGGTTCAACGTCTTCCTCGAACCACGGAAAGAATCACCGATACAAAAGGTCCAAGTCCTCCGAATGGGACACCAGATCAAGACGGTCCTCTTTGCCGACGTTGTACGAGTACGAGAGCGACGGCGGCAGCTCCGCTCGTACCCACGGTCATCGGATTCAAGTCTCCCATTCCGCCTCGGCGATGGGTCAGCCAAGCCGTTTACGTAGACTCGGCTCGAGTCACAGGGGCGCGGGTGGTAGCAGCGAGGCCGACGTCAGATCCATGTCCGAGATGACGGTTCGCGACTTCGCGAGAGTGGACCGAGATGATTTGACGAGCCTGAGCTCGTTCGAGGGCGCAGACTCGTTGGTCAGGTCTCTCAGCCAGCCTAGCTTAGCCAGAAGCGGTTCGGAGTTCACCGAACACTGGGGTATACCCTCGGGGATGATGGACCTACCTCCGTGGGCCGCCGAAGACGCGGAGGACGGGACCAGTTCCGTCGAAACCACGCCCAGGGTCGTGAGAAGAAACGACCGCTTGGATGTTCTTGCCTCGTTCGACGACCGCAGACAGGGTCCGGGAGCAGCCACGACGAGATCGAGTCGGTACATGGAGAGAGAGCTGAACAGCGTCCGCGTCACCGAGAGCCAGAGGACCTCGAACTGGTTCCACGATGATTCCGAGCCCGAGATGCAAATCTGAGGGAATTCCACTGAATACCTTTCTTGATTCCGTCCTTTAGCCGCCGTTGCTCTCACTTTCGTCGGGAGCCCGGCAGAATAATGTATCTTTCGATTGGTATATTTTTCACGAGAATCGTTCATTCTCCGATTTTGTAAGATTCTTTCGTCCTCCCTTTCCTAAAACTGTGCTGTCCAAAGACTGGGCTCCTTGAACCCCTTGACACGTGTCATTGTTAACAGAGATCAATACTACGACAGAGATGTCGAAGATTCATGCGTTCGATGCAAGATAAATGGTACTTATTGACTTGGTTAAAGGTGTGGTTTTCTTTGATGCCGTAGGCAGAGTAGGGGAAACCCAATGAGAGGTCTAGTTACACGTGTCGGTGATGTGTCCGCTTAGTTCTGTGAAGATGTCAAGTCTGGGTTAGGTTCAGTGTCTGTTGATATTCCTATCTCCGCTGACATGCTTTTGGCTGCTTTTTATATTTTCGAATTTTTATTTCATATTTTTATTTCAGAAAGATATCCACAGATACCGAAAATATTTATCAATTTTTTCAGCAAATGTATTAATTAGTGTAGTAAGAAATTCTCTTTCAGTTGTCCTATTCAACCAAGCTTTGGATTATTCCATTCTGTTCCCAAAATGTTGTTTAACCTGATGCAGAATTATGATAGCCATGACATTCAGAACTTTGTCATAAAAGAAAGTCATTGTAATAACAGGAATACATTGGCTGAATACTGTACGGATACCAGCAAGAGTGAATAGTCATCGCTAGACTGTGAATATTCAAATTGCTAGATTGTGAATAATAAAAATTGATTTGCTCTATTAAGACTTCTGTCGGTTTAGGAAACAAAAATTATTAAGCTCTTTTGAAAATGTTATTGTACCGAGTTTTAGTCAATTGTATATGTTATATATGTGTAAGATTTCCAGTCTAGTCAATACTGATACGCAATGAACGTCACTGACACGGAAATCTCACCAAGCGAACGCATCACCGATACATGTAACAGGCCTTAAAGCTTGGACAGCACTGTTCCTGGAGGATCTGGTTATCTGTAAACGTTCACTGCCCATTCCCATCTTGTTCTCGCCACGTCGAAAGACCAAATACCATCGAACGAACAATTACGCACGACTTGGCGCGTTGACTACCACAGTTCGCCCCGAAATCACCAGGAAACTGGTACGTTTTCAATGAACCTAACCAAACACGAAACTAACAGGACAGTCAACGTGTCGAAGAACGACTACCGAGCCATTCTCTCCACTTGCCACTCGAGATATAGAACAGAGTCGAGCGTGAGCACGTTGGATCGACTAGAAAAGCAAAAAACATCGAGTGGGACTGTAGACTCTGGCGAATGTCGAATTAACCATAAACATAGAACATTAACTCGAGGCAAGTAAGGGTAAGATTCTAATTAACCACGCGCAACAAGTTCTGCTTCCCTAACGATCGACCAGATGGCGCGCTCCAAGGATCTCCAAACGATCGTTAGACGCCACCGGGGACGTTTTAATTTCTTTTTCTTTTTCGAAGCGGTGTTTAACGCGTTCGCTACCAGAGTTGCCAAGGGTAGCTACTATTAACTATGAAATTTGCGAATCTTTGTACAGATCTAGGGGTCTTGACTACAGTAAGTCCAAGTTAAGGCTTTCCACTGCTTTCTATCACCAGAGAACCAAAAATGGCGGATGAACATACTGATCCCTATGGTGCCTTAACCTGGACCCTCTGTAGACTTACCCATCCACTGGACCCAAAACGGTGAATGAACGTACTCATCTCTCTAGTACTATAGTCTCGTGTAGACAGACCATGTGTATCTTGCACACTGCGTGGTGCTTATTGGTATTAATCCTCGGCGACATAATTAAGCACGTATAAGCAAATATAGGGGAAGGTTGCTGAATTTAGACCATCGCCTAAGTTGGACCATTACTGTAACTTCTGCATGTGTAAACAATTTGCGCCGTATGATAGACAGTACGTGTATCACAGTGGGGATTACGTTAACTAACTTAATGTAATAAGCAACGCACATTGTCTATCGCACGGCACAAATTGCTTACGCATGGCAAGTTATAGTAGTATTCCAACCTAGGCTATGGTCCAAATTCGGTAACCTTGCTCTACATATACATAATAACATTAATATATACATGTGTACAAATTTATATATTCATGTCATTGTGTATATATTTGTATTAAGTTGTTATTTGTATATTTATTTATATAATAACGTCGCCGCGGATTAGTACCAATAAGCGCTACAATATGTGCAGGGCGCACATGTCTGTCTACACTAGAAACACTATTATCAGAGACTGAACATGAGACAACCACTCTTGATTGGTTCGCCATATCTTTGCTACATATGATAACTTACAGTATAAAAACAATAGTTTTCATTTCTGCTTGATGGACCTAGTATTAACATAGTATTTCTTTTTGATATCTCTTTACTAAATATTTGTTTTAATGTGAATAAAAATTGATAAATATCTGAATAATTATTGATGACTTGAAATAATAATAGTTTATGTAGCACATATATGTACGTATAAACGCACATATAAACGTTCTTAAATCGTAATAATAATTGCTTTTATCTCGAAATGTAGGTGCGCTACATAACATTTTTAATGGGTCTAATGAATTGGCATATTTATTCGAAGAGTTCATCTATTGATTGTTTTTATTAATATGTAATTTAATTCGTTCAAGCACAACGTTCATATATGTGAACATTTTATTTGTATACGCGTAGGTTCCCAACAAATAGTCCTCTTGGTTAAATATATGGGCTATTGGAGCCGGGAGAAATTTGCGTAGGAGAAATTCGAACCTTGTTCGCGTATCACCTCGTTGTCCGGGACCTCATATTCATTTCAGTCCCTCGTCCAGGTTCCTCAGCTGTCTCTAATAAATTGGGCATGCAATTGAGAAAATCACAAATAGGTCTCGTGTTGTCGCTGATTTCCACCATGTTTTCGGATTTTGATTCACAACTGCTTCGAACAGGTAGATTTCCAATTTTATTACATCAGTCCCAATATCGGTCCTCGAACTGACAGTACAGCGCCTGCCGTCTGTCAGATGCGAAATACGCTGAAATATTCATCCACTGTCTGCGGTTGATGCTATTTGAAGGAACGACTTCTCGAGATATTCGTCTGGTTCGGCCGGCGGGTCCTTTGCTGTGACGGAAGTTGATGAATTCCTGTATACGTGTAGATTTGCACGTGTTGTGACTGTAGACGCAGTCGTGGACGATGTGGAAATGTTCTCCGTGCCTACAGACAATACAGATTATACAAATACTCCTGCTGTATGTGACCGATATGAATCTATGAATTGATCCAGATGTTTCCGGTTAGTTGGATAGTTTTTAAGAATTGAATGTACAATTTTCCGTTTGAGCAGTCTTGTTCAACATCCTTTCAAGAATAATTTTCCAAATCTTTTCCTGATTGAAATAGCCCTTTTAGTAGGTACCTATTTAGTAGCTTCCTGTGCTGGAGTCCATAGTCTTTCGTCCTGTATATTCTTGATCGTTACGGCGTTGCCTACAACAGTCTTGGATAGTGAAAATATAAATTTCATTGTTAGTGCTTTCTCCCAAATTATTTCTAATGTTGAGAAAATACCGATTAAATTTGGTATCAGAGCGTTCTGGCTTGAAATTGTGACTTTCTATATCTTTTTCTTTTCGCCGGCGGTTCGTCTACTGGTTCCGCCTCCACCGTGAAAATTTCTTTGGATTTGTTTGGACTGATCCCGTATCCATTCTGAATTTACTTATAATCGCAATATTCAGTGAAATCTCTGTTCTCTTCTGCCATGTTAGTAGTTTTCGGTAATTTTGTAATTCAACGAAAATAATCTGTTATCAATGTTTGTTTCATTTAATATTTGTTAGTGTTACAGTACCTATACACAATTCTCTGTTTTTATATTTACCACTATATCTGCACTTGTTGAGCGTTACCGAAGAACTGACATCTAAAGCTTAACAACAAAGAATTACATATACAGGGCGGTACACGTAACTTGTTCACCCTGAATAACTTCTAAAGTATACATTGTATGAAAAAAATTTGTATAAAAAAGTTGTACGGTTTGGAGGGATACATTATGTAATACATATTCTTTTTTGTAATTGGAGACGTTTCAAAGATTTCAAGGTCAACTTCGTTTTTCTAAATGGAATGCTATATTTTTCATGCCAAAATATCGAAGAGCGTTAAATTTTGGGTAAAAAAGTACTGATCTTTATTAGCCGTAAACCTAATAACTAACAAATAATTTGACTTTGTTCCTAGAAAATGGTCAGTGCGAAATATCAAGTTGGAGATTCAATACCAGCAATCTCCACTTACAAAAACACTATATGTATTACATAATGTATCCCTCCAAACCATACAACTTTCCTATATAAATTTTTTTCATACGATGCATACTTTAGAAGTTATTCAGGGTGAACAAGTTGCGTGGACCACCCTGTATATACGATACCCACTACCACTACCACTTTCCCTGTGTCGGCCATGACCGCCGACATACGCTAGCTGTCTACACAAGGCAAGACCCCTAGATCTCAAAAAAAATTTATCAAGTTCATGGTTAAAAGTAGCTACCCATTGCAACTCTGTTCGCTACGATTCGTCGAGGTGTATTCTTCGGCCGGGAAATAGTGTGCGCGTTAATTCTAATTAGAAGTTTAATTTCGCCATTGTACGAGAACACGGAAGTTCCCCTTACCAGGTAGTAGGACAATGGGAATAACCGAGATCCGGTTAGCGAAAGTGTTAAATATTCGTTGGTCGGTGGTGCCGCCTGCGATAATAGTCTGTTTAAGTAGGTAACGAAACATACGGTGCTGGGTTATACGCTTCAAACAATAGCTAGGACTTCCTTCTGCAAGACGTACTTAACCTCCTCAGTGTTAAATGTATCGGAGACGCGCGACGTCCGTTTCTTCGACGAAGATATCGATCGG